TCGTCGGCTTTGTGCTGTTTGGTTTTTTTCTTACCAGCGGTCGATGCCTCGGCCCTCCTTTAGAAGTTGGTGTAGTTTGACGCGGAAGTTGGTGTTGCTCTTCGTCCCCACGATGGAGAGTGCTGATAGTCCTGCTTCCTTTTCTGGTGGGTCCGTGTGTTGTCCTTTATTCACGTAATAGCGCAGGACCTTGTAGTCCGCAGGAAGTTCTAGTTGCCTGTCGACAAAGTTGGCATCTGAGTACCAGGCTTCAAGCATTGTTTGTCCTGCTTTGGAGATGCTTCAGCCTACGGTGGTCGCCCCTTGAATGACAGACTGCCCCCTCCGCAGCAGTCTACCGAATACCGGGGACTGCAGTTACGCTGGAGACACAGAGGTTAAAAATTGCTGACTCACCTACACCAACACAAAATGCCGGCTCGGCCACTAGACCCAAACGCATGGCTTGAAACTCATTCATCAGATAGACTGGCCGGACCCTGGCTATTCCAGGTGTGACCATCGTAGGCCGAGGTACCTGTTTCGGTGACCAAATGATGTCTTCAAAGATTAAGTTAGCATAAACACACAACGGGAGTCGGGAGCAGTAGCTGTGACAAAGGTGGCCAGCCCGTCTGCTCGTGGCACACACAGAGACACATCTGGGGTCGAGAACCAATTGCTCTGCCAACAGGACTACCATCTCCTCTGCGCGCTGTGTGTTAATTTCAGATTTTGCAGCTACTTAAGCGTTTTCCGGTGAGCCGATTTTGACTTGATCGTATACTGCACTGCTCTCTTACCAGTATGTACATGAAGACCCCGGGGTGATAGAGGTTTGAATCTGAGTTGGCTGGTGCCCGTGCAAGACGTGACAGTGTGAGGGGGGCGAGGCGTAAGTCGTCATTTTTCTCGATGGAACATATATCTAGTTTTCAACCGAGGCGAGTTACGCTCTCATCGCTAAAAAGTTATCGATGTGCGGACCTTTACTGACCTTCTGCAGCAGTAGCAGAAGGCACTTGGGTTTGCAATCGCACTCACATGTGTACCTACTGAAATTAACAACCTCCGCATTCGTCGTGGGCGGGTTAGCGTCATGTGCTGCTAAGCACAGCATACTTACGTGGTTAATGACGACAACAAAATGCTGCGGACCACGTGAACAGGCACAACTTACTAGAAGCAGGCCGCACACTCCACGGCCGTACCAAAATGCGTCCTTTGATTTTGAAACAGCGCACGCATAGTGAAACTGTGATCTATGTGAAAGAAGTACAGGTATTCAGTGCAGGCAC